GGGGGGGGGGGCATTTAGGGAAAAAGTCCTTATGGTTCCTTATCGATAGTGGCGCCATCTACCGGAATTCGAGAACACTCTAGTATTTTTCGAGACTTGCAATAGAATTTTCTAGCGAATTCGCCAATTTCGTTTATTGAATTTAACATTTATTGAATTTTTTCACACGTGATACTTTACCATTATGAGGAGAGGAGCTGCGATGAGCCAGCAGAATCGAAAATACAGGGACGGCATCCTTCCCGTCATTTCTTTCACGTTATTGGAGAGCCTCCGAACTCCGTAAAACCACGATATGGCTATTACTTCGAAAAATGCTAGGAACATTATCGATATTGATGCGGCGTAGTGATCTATCAGTTGAAAGAAAAATATTCCACCCTGAAAATATTTTATTCAATGGTCAAGCGGACTTTTACGGCTCTCAACCTGGGACTTTTTAATTTTACGACTTATAAATTGCCCATTATTTATTCATTCATTGCGGCTCTTAATTTATGCCCTGAGGCACCGCAAGTATAAAAATTCTGACCCTCGTCACTGTTTTACATACACCTGAAGTGGATTTGGAAATATTTAAAATATACCTGCGATACATTTGGAAGACCAAACAAAAACGACACTGTACAGATAATAAGAACGAGCATTTCGTGACAGAGAAGATTACTCTTCACCCAGTTTGGAAAGCCATCCTGAATGGACGTCACCACAACCTCGACAATTGCAAACTGAAAATAATAATTTAATCAAGAACTTGGTAAATTTATTGTGGTTGTTTTAATGATTTACGTACTTGGCTGTTCAACGAGAGACAAACGAGCATGAAGAAAAATAACACAGCCCACAACTGTGAGGCTGGCATTTTCGCCATTGCCTGAGGATACACGACGAATACGAGACCGGGACCTGGAAAAAACGTCTCATTAAATCCATTTATGGCAGTTAAAGGGAAACAATTCAGCAGCAAAGTGGTAAAACGGTTCGTCTTTTTTTTTTTTTTTT